CGAACTATAATTTTCAGTATTCACATTAATAAAACTTGGACTGTAGCCTAACAAGCATATTGTTGATTTGTTCGAAAGAGGTAAGAACCTACTCGATCCACACCATACAAATTGTTTTGTTACTCTCTATTCGATCCAAGGAAGTAGATTTTTTAGAATTCTTCACGCTAACTAATAAATAATTAATACTTAACTATATATGGGCAGTTTCTTATACTAAGCAAATTCTAATAACAGTAAATCAATACCATACATCATTTAAGTTACATGAAATAGGAACGAACATGTGACCAAAACAAAAAAAAAAGAAATAGGAACGAACATTTATTAGTCATTTACTATCTTTTATTTTCGGCAGTCATTTACGATCTAGTTGCTATACATTTACATAAATATATTTGTACTGTTACTGAAACAAAATGTGCCGCTTATCATAATGCAGAATGGCTGTCCACAAAAACGAGAGTAAGTAGACAGATGGAGTTTGGTATGTGGCCAACTGGATGTTTTCCACAGCTGATTTTATATGTAAAGTTTTAAATAAATTTTAGTCGAAAACAAAATTGTGAAAAAAAAACAATAGTAGCCTAATGGAATACCAATTACGATGGTATTTTTCTAATTGATAATTTGTTTGACAAAAAATAACAGCCAAACATATTTTGATCTATCATGTGTTTAGAAAAATCTTCGTTGCTTTCATTTTATATCCGAGCAAATGTATTTTGTTTTTAAGGTTAAAAAAAAAAATTGTATTTTGTTTTTTTAAATTGTCGTGATATCACGCACGGCACAAGTGTTTTTGGAGTTACGATGTGGTGACATTTAGAGATATATTAACCTAATACTAATTACCACGGCCGCATGAGTTTGCCGCGGCCGCACTGAGTTTGCGAGTTGATTACACTGGTTTTTAAATTGTAAACTTAATCATTATTAATGTTAATAACTTCTTTATAATTTCAGTAATCCTGAGGAGCATTGGATTAGGTATCCAAAACTAGAATTTGATAGAATTTCAGCCGAATTAAACTGATTAATTAATTTTAGAGACATATATATATGCCTATCAAAAAAAGCATCCCCTTATGTATTGAGTTTTCAACCGAGTATTAGTCTGTTTTCTCAACGACTGAATGACACAATGAACTTGTACTATCTAACGCGCAAATAAGTTTATTATAACAGAGACTCCAATTTAGCGAGTTTACGCCATACCCCGAATTCTCACCTAACCACTCACTTGCGTGCGAGGCAAAAGTTAATTTTTACATCATCCATTTCACAAAAACAGTGAAATTTCGATATTGTAAGTAACTAAAGACCAAACAAATGAAATTTCCTATTAAAAACCATTAGAATTTTTTTTTTTTTTTGAAAATTGAAGTTTGTATGATTACACGTCAAGCAAATAAGGAAGAGAGAGAGAGAGACGGTACGGACCTCCGTTGAGCCAAAGGACAAGAGGACGACGAGAGGAATTTTGGTGGGCTTCGAAGAACCAATAGAAAAGTGCCTTTTGCTTCTGTTGCGGTCCGAGACTCACGTAACCGGCGTAGTGTCTGAAGTTAACCGGTGGTTGACCGGGCAAACCGGTCACTAAGTCATCTTCCTTCGTCCCGGACGAAGCCGTTACCTTCTTCTCCGGTTTCCTACCACAGGCTATCGCCGGTAACACCAGAACGCACAGTAGCCAAAGTGCGTTCTTCTTCATAGCCAAACACTTTTTTCCTCTCTTTTTCTTTTTTCTTGTGTTTATAAATGAAGAGTGGATGAGAAATTGCCCCCAC